CACCAGCACTCACCCACAGTCATTGAGTTACTCTACATCCCTGAGCCTATGTCCATCCTTCAGGGTGAAGGCGGGGGCCAGCTAAGCCGGAAGAAGATGGTGACCATTCCTGCAGGCAGCGTCCTTGCATTCCGGGTCACCAAGTTGCTCATTGACCCTACATGGGGTGAGTGTTGAGGGCCTGTCTCTAGAACCCAGACTGTGTGTCAGAGAAGCAGAAAATCTGGGAGGCTTCAGCCAGCCAGGAGATGCTGTGTCATCGGGCTGCATGATCTCCCAGACAGGGTGGTCAGGCGTGCCAGGGACTGATATGTGGGTGATAGGGGCAGTCCCTCACGAGGTCCCAGGATCCCTGTGGATGAGGGAGTTGGTAATGTTTTTTTTTTTCCTGCTTCCAGACATCCTTCTCTTCCCTGATGAAAAGAAGAGGACCTTTGAGCTGCCCCCATCAAGTGAGGCCCCAGACGCTCTGGCCCTACACATCCCTTAGCTATGAGGTGGTCAGTCTCCTATGGAGATGGACAGTCCCCCATTCCCCCCGACTCACATACACAATGGGTAATGTTGCTGGGCCTGTTTAGACTTTCATCTGCCCTGGGCTGCAAATAGTAGGGAAAGGATAGAATTGGGAGGGCCCAGGGAAAATCTCAGCCTTCTGGCATTTGTAAGTGATCACTAGGACCCAACACAAAACAGTGCTTCCCCTTTCTCCCATCCTCATGTCTTACAGAGTATGACCAGAGACAGCGTTCCTTTAGCCTGCTTGCTATACTACAACCTAAGCATTTGGAACCTATGGAAGTTTATGCGCAGTGTCGACATGTCGACCCTGAGGCTCCACAGCTTGCGAATCAGATCTCTAGATTTGACCCACCTACCCAGGGTTCCCCAAGACCTCATAGGTATAAGTTGGGAGAGCCCTTTGTCCCTCCAGATGAAATCAATGAGGAACAGGTGGTCAGAAAAGACTTCCAAGGCCTGCATGCAGAAGTGAAGGCTGGATGCACACAACTGGGGGACTTAGAAATGGAGTTAAGACAACAGCTGCTAATGGACATTGGGAGGATTTTACATGACCAGCCCAACATGGAAACCCTGGAGGCCTCAGTGAGTGAGCGGGTTGAAGGTGGGCAGGGCCTGCCCAAGCCTGCACAGCCTCACTTACCTAAACTGTGCCTCAGCTGGAACAGGCCCTGTGCATTGGTGAAGAGGTGGAACCTCTGGATGGCCCAGCAGGTAGCATCCTCAAGTGTCTGATGCTTTCCTCTGGAAAATTGATGCTGGAATTCGCTGCCTCCATCTTCTACCTGTTGGGAGCACTGACTGGTGAGCGGTCAACTGGGGGACAGGAAAGGATGATGGGTGCCATATTGGGCATTCCAGAGCCTTCTTAGCAGCCCCCATCTCTCCCCAGTGCTGAGTGAAACCCAGCAACAGCTGCTGGCTAACACTCTGGAGACAATGGTGCTGTCCAAGCAGCTTTAGTTGGTTAGAGGACATGGCATGGGGGATGCCATGGGGCCCTGGGTACTTCCTGAAAGGTTGACAGGATCCAATCCTGCAACCCAGGGGCTCAGGCTGCAGTTCCTCCATCTACAACCTCTTTCTGTCCCTTGCCGATAGGTGGAGCATATCCTGGAAAAGAGCTCCCCATGGCAGAAGCAGAGCTCTGTGGTCCTACCCTCCAGACTATTTGGAAACAGCTGGCATGAGGAGGCTCCCATCTGGATCTTGCTAGAAGAATGTGGCCTAACACTGCAGGTGGACACCCCCCAGGTGCACTGGGAACCAACATCTCAGGGCCCCACTTGTGCCCTCTATGCCTCCCTGGCTCTATTGTCAAGTCTCAGCCAGGGACCTTACAAGTCTGCATGCCTCCCTTCCCCCAGCATCCTCATGTCCTGCTTCAAGCGAGGGCAGAATTCAACCACAGGGCTACAATACAAGGAAGCAGGATTAGGAGTTGGAAAAACTCAATAAATATACAAAGAAAAGAATAAGCGGCTGAGTTTGGTTTTTACTGTTGTCTGGTTGGTTTGCTTTGGTTTTTCAAGACAGGGTTTCTCTGTGACACCGTGGCTATCCTGGAATTTTTTTCTGTAGACCAGGCTGGCCTCAAACTTACAGATCTGCCTGCCTCTGCCTCACAAGTGCTGGGCTAAAAGACATGTGCCACCACTGCCCAAATGTGACTGAGTTTTTTGAGGGGCCCTGATCATTGGTATGATGGGTAGGGGTGGTTGTGCCCACACAGAAGCAAGATACATGTGAGTGCCTTCCCCTCACTCCTGCCAACCTGTGAGGCCAAAGTGAGCCTGCCCTGCAGTGAGACAGACTTTTCCCAGGAAGACGTGAGCAAATGTCTACTTACCCAGCTAGAGAATCAACAACAGACCAAACAGGAATGCCATCAAATCCAACCTGGTGAAACCTACTAATTTTATTGGGATCACTCTCAGGAATATTGGTAAGAGATTATCTGCAGGAGGAAAACTCACTCCAAGATAGCTGAAATACCAAAAGGCTCCTCCAGCACGGGTGACAGCTCATAAAAGCTGGAAAGCTGGATCCCACTGCACAGCCTGCAGGCAGCTCAGCAGGTCAGGGAGGGACATTTCTAGGTGGTTCCATTGGGGCCTTTTCCAGGCAGCTCAACTTCCTTTCCTCCAGGCAGTTTCCTTGGTCTCTGCTCCTGCTGGGCAACTGGGCTTGTCTGGGAGTGGCTGTTTGCAGTCTTAATTGTTCCTGTTCTCTGGGGGAAGGAGGGACCCAGTGAATCTGGCCTATTTCCTGTCTTAAGGAACTTCCTCGAAGCATGGAAACTGCTACACAACTGCTGTGTGTGGACGTGTTCATACCCCAGCATGCCCACACACACCCCCTAGAGAAGATGCACAGAACATTTTAGGAGAAAGTCTGTACTTGGGTCAGGATGACCCTCTGCTTCAGGGGACTTGGGGTACACTGTAAATGGAGGTTTCTCTCTTGCTTCTCAGTTCCTGAATAACCATTCAGACTTAGATTAATTATAAATGTTTAGAAGATGGTTCAGGCTTATTCCTAACTAGTTCTTACATTTAAATTAACTCTACTAATTTATGTATTGCCACGTGGCCATAGTGTTACCTCATGTTCTTTCTTTTTTTATTGTTTTTATTTAGCTCTTTCTTTTTCTCTGCTCCCCTCCATTTCTCTCCTCTCTACTTCTATTCTCTTCTATGGTCCCCACGCTTTACTCAGAAGATCTTGTCTTTTTCTACTTCCCATGTAGATTAGATCCATGTATGTCTCTCTTAGGGTCCTCTTTGTTGTCTAGGTTCTCTGGGTGTTGGGAAGGTCCTGCTTGTTTGTCCCTGCCGCCCGGCTAGTTTAGCCCTGAAATAATCACACAGAAACTGTATTAATTAAATCACTGCGTGGCCCATTAACTCTAACTTCTTATTGGATAACTCTGATATCTTAGTTTAACCCATTTAGCAATCTGTACATCACCACGAGTTTGTGGCCTACCAGCAAAGTTTCAGCGCGTCTGTCTCTGGTGGTGGTGACTCCATGACATCTCTCTGATGTCACCCTGGTGCTATATATGGGATTGTGAATTGTAGGCTGGTTTTCTTTGATTTATGTCTAAAAGCCACTTATGAGTGAGTACATATGATATTTGTCTTTCTGGGTCTGGGTTACCTCACTCAATATGATGTTTTCCAGATCCATACATTTGACCTCAAATTTCAGAATGTCATTATTTTTTCCACTTTGTAGTACTTCATTGTGCAAATGTACTACATTCTCCTTATCCATTCTTCAGTCAAGGGGCTTTTATGTTGTTTCCAGGTTCTGGCTATGACAAACAATGCTGCTACGAACATAGATGAGGACATGTTTTTGTGGTACGATACACCATCCTTTGGGTATGTACCCAAAAGTGGTATTGCTGGGTCTTGAGGTATGTTTTTTCCTAATTTTCTGAGAAATCACCAAGCTGATATTCAAAGGATACACACCAATCTCACTCATGAACACTGATGCAAAAGTATTCAATAAAATACTGACAAATGGAATCCAAGAACACATCAGAAAAGTCATCCACCATGATCAAGTAGGTTTTAACTCAGAGATGCAGGGATGGTTCAACATATGAAAATCTGTCAATGTAATCCACCATATAAACAAACTGAAAAAAACACCCACATGATCATCTCATTAGATGTGGAAAAAAGCCTTTGAGAATATACATCATCCCTTGATGATAAAGGTCTTGGAGACAGCAGGGATACAAGGAACATACCTAAACATAATGAAGGCAATATGCAGCAAGCCAACAGCCATCATCAAACTAAATGGAGAGAAAGTCAAAGCAATCCCACTGATATCAGGAACAAAACAAGGTTGTTCACTCTATTCATATTTATTCAATATAGTTGTTGAGGTCATAGCTAAAGCAATAAGACAACAAAAGGAGATAGAGATGATACAAATCGGAAAAGAAGTCAAACTCTTACTATTTGCTGATGATATGATAGTTTATATAAGCTACTCCAAAAATTCTACCAAGGAACTTCTACCATTCATAAACACCTTCAGTAATATAGCAGAATACAAGATTAATTCCAAAGAATCAGTAGCCCTCCTGTACATACATGATAAATGGGCTGAGAAAGAAACCAGAGAAACATTACCCTTTAGGAAAGCCACAAATAATACAAAATATCTCAAAGTAACTCTAACCAAACAAGTGGAAGACCTGTATGACAAGAACTTTAAATCTTCGAAGAAAGAAATTGAAGAAGGTAACAGAAAGTGGAGAGATCTCCCATGCTCTTGGGTAGGTAGAATTAACATAGTAAAAAAGGCAATCTTACCAAAAGCAAACTACAGATTCAATGCACTGCCCATGAAAATTCTTCACAGACCTCAAAAGAACAATACTCATCTTCATATAGAAAAAAAAAAAACTCAGAATAGCCAAAACAATCCTGTACAATAAAGCATCTTTTGGAGGCATCACAATCCCTGACTTTAAACTCTACTACTACAGAGCTACAGTAATGAAAACAGCCTTATTTTAGCATAAAAACGGACAGAAGGGCCAATGAAACTGAATCAAAACCTGGATATCAATCCACACCTCAATGAATTCTTGATTTTTGACAAAAATTTAAAAAATCTGTAAAATCGAAAAAGAAAGCATATTCAACAAATGGTACTGACATAGCTAGATAACAACATGTAGAGGAATGAAAATAGACCCATATCTATCACCATGTACAAAAATCAAGACCAAATGAATAAAAGACCTCAACATGAATCCAACCTCACTGAACTTCATAGAAGAGAAAGTGGGAAGTACACTTGAATGCATTGGCACAGGAGACTACTTCCTAAATATAACCCCAGTAGCACAGACACTGAGAGAAACAATTAATATACAGACCTCCTGAAATTGAGAAGCTTCTGTAAAGCAAAGGACGTGGTCAACAAGACAAAAATACAGCCTACAGAATGGGAAAAGTGCTTCACCAACCCCATATCAGACAAAGGGCTGATCTCCAAAATATACAAAGAACTCACGAAATCAGTCATCAAAGGAACAAATAATTCAATTTTAAAAAACAGGATACTGACCTAAAGAGAGAACTCTCAAAAGAGAATCTAATATGACTGAAAGACACTTAAGGAAATGCTCAACATCCTTAGTCATCAGAGAAATGCAAATTAAAACAACTCTGGGATTTCATCTTACACCTGTAAGAATGGCTAAGTACTAAAACACTGATGACAACTTAAGCTGGAGAGGATGTGTGGTAAAGGGAACACTCCTCCATCCTGGTGGGACTGCACACAAGAACATCTCCTTTGGATATCAGTGTGTTGATTTCTCAGAATATCCTCAAGACCCAGTAATACTCCTTTTGAGAACATATCCAAAAGATGCTCAATCGTACCACAAAAATGATCCAATGATCAGGGCCCCTCAAAAAACTCAGTCACATTTGGGCAGTGGTGGCACATGTCTTTTAGCCCAGCACTTGTGAGGCAGAGGCAGGCAGATCTGTAAGTTTGAGGCCAGCCTGGTCTACAGAAAAAAATTCCAGGATAGCCACGGTGTCACAGAGAAACCCTGTCTTGAAAAACCAAAGCAAACCAACCAGACAACAGTAAAAACCAAACTCAGCCGCTTATTCTTTTCTTTGTATATTTATTGAGTTTTTCCAACTCCTAATCCTGCTTCCTTGTATTGTAGCCCTGTGGTTGAATTCTGCCCTGGGTTGAAGCAAGACGTGAGGATGCTGGGGGAAGGGGGGCCATGCAGACTATTAAGGTCCCTGGCTGAGACTTAACAATAGGGCCAAGGAGGCATAGAGCGCACATGTGGGGCTCTGAGATGTTGGTTCCCAGTACACCTGGGGGGTTTCCACCTGCAGCGTTAGGCCACATTCTTCTAGCAAGATCCAGATGGAAGCCTCCTCATGCCAGCTGTTCCCAAGGAGTCTGGGGGGTAGGGCCACAGAGCTCTGCTTCTGCCAGGGGGAGCTCCATTCCAGGATATGCTCCACCTATCAGCAGGGGACGGAAAGAGGTTGTAGATGGAGGAACTGCAGCCTGAGCCCCTGGGTTGCAGGATTGGATCCTGTCAACCTTTCAGGAAGTACCCAGGGCCCCATGGCATCCCCCATGCCATGTCCTCTCACCAACTCCAGCTGCTTGGTCAGCACCTTTGTCTCCAGAGTGTTAGCCAGCAGCTGTTGCTGGGTTTCACTCAGCACTGGGGAGAGATGGGGGCTGCTGAGAGGGCTCTGGAATGCCCAATATGGCACCCATCATCCCTTCCTATCCCCCATGACTGCTCACCAGTCAATGCTCCCAACAGGTAGAAGATTGGGGCAGCAAGTTCCAGCACCAGTTCTCCAGAGGAAAGCATCAGACACTCAAGGATGCTACCTGCTGGGCCATCCAGAGGTTCTACCTGTCCACCACGGC